CGCGCTAGGATCCCCAGGCTGCAGCCTGGCCAGCTTGCTTGGCAGCCTGGCTGACACTAGAACGAGGACATTTTCCAAAGGCTCAGGCCCTGGCTAGCGTTGCTTTTTCATTTTCCAGCACTGGGGACTGATAACTCAGGCTTAGTACCAGGGAGATCTGTCTGCTCGTGGATGAGGCTGGAGTGCGCTCCAAAGGCCTTGCCGCACTCGGAGCACCGGTAGGGCTTCTCGCCCGTGTGCACGCGCTGGTGCTGGATGAGCTTGGAGCTCAGGCGGAAGGCCTTGCCACACTCGCCGCACTTGAACGGCTTCTCCCCGGTGTGGATCCTCTGATGCTGACTGAGCTGCGAGCACAGCCTGAAGACCTTCCCGCACTCCGCGCAGGCGTACGGCTTCTCGCCACCGCAGGCGCTCCGGGGTGGGCCCTGCGGGCAGCCACAGACCTTTGTCTGGCAGTCCCGACACCTGGGAAGCTCGGCCCGAGGCAGACCGACATCCGATGTGGACATCCTGCCACACACCGCACACCTCCAGGCCACCCCCTCTGCTGTCCCCCCTCGACCTCTGCCAGGCAGACCGCCCAGCACGCCAGGCCCCTGCGTGCCCTCCTCAGTGAAGGGCGTCCTGGGAGCCACAGTCCCCGAGTGCACGCGCTGTCTCTGGAAGAGGGAGCTTGGCTGATGCTCTGGCCAGGCCCCAGAACCAGAGGCGTCTCCAGTGGCAGAACTCGGAGGGAGACCCTGTGAGGGGACTCTGACTTTCGCTGCATGGGATTCTGACTGTGGACCGTCCATGTCCTCACAGGCCCGCTCGCTCTCAGTGCTATTTGCAAAGCCTGAAACAAACAGGAAAAATGGCGCCCCTCAGTCCGGTGCTCCGAGGAAGGGCAGGCAGGGGGTGGGGTGGGGCCGTCCCTGGGAAGTGAGCTCCCTCCCAGGACACCCCACAGGGAAAGACATCCAACTGGGTTCCATCGTACTTGTGCTTGGTGCTGTCACTCAAGCCATGTACCTGGCAGAGTGCTTAGAGCCACTGTCCCGCAAGGGGCCACGTCCCTGCTCGCAGGTGCCTCCTGCGGGGACGTGGGGGCAAGGAAATGCCATGAAGCAGCAGCAAAGCATGCCTGGGGGCGGGAAGCTCAGTGAGAGGTGGGTTAGGCTGAGGGGTCATGGGTCCCCGGACACAACGTTGGGGTGGAGGAAAGAAGCGTTTACAGCCATGGGCATGGGCTGTGCAGGTGCCAAGAAGGACAAGGCACAAGAACTGCTGAGAAGTGACAGCAGCCAGCCCTAAAGGGCTGGGCACTAACCTGTCCACTGGGCATGCTTCTGGGGGGGACCCTAGGCCTGAGCTCAGCTCCTGCCAGCTGCTGACAAGCCACCCCCTCCAAATCATGCCTGACCATGTCCCTTACCCAGCTGTCCCTCAGCTTCTGAGTGACCACACCCATTGGCCCACCTGGACTTCCCACTGTGAGCTTCTGGGGGTCTGCCTGCCCATGCCTGCCCCTCACCTTCCCTCTGGACTGTCCAAATAAGCATCACCTCCTTCCTCCTCTGCTGTCCCAGGAGGTGCCTTTGCTGAGGTTGGACTTGTCATCCCTGTCACACCCAGGGCCACAACCAGGGCAGAGCCACCCCGGTGCTGCCCCACACTGAAGCCCAGGCCCAGGAACAGTGCTCTGCTGGCCCGCCACGTCAGTGTCAGCTACAGGGACCTGATCTGTCGGTCCTGGCGAGCAGAAGGGGCTGCCATGCACTGGCCCTCTGCGCACGAGGCAGGTTCCCGCTCGTTCCTCCCTTAGTCCTCACGATGACCTGATGGGGTCAGCAGTAGAGTCGCCACCCCACAGATAAGGGGCTTGTGGCTCGAAGAGGTTAAATAACTCACGCACAGTTGCATAGTGAATGTGAGATTCAGGAATGGACCAAGTCTGGTCCCCCAAACACACGCCCTTTCAATGTCTCTGCCCTTAAGACGTGGGACATCTCCCATCTGGTCCTCACTGTGTCTCCTTCTCTGCAAACATGACGCTGGCAAACCTGCCCCTTGACAGGGCAGGGTGGCCATACGGCGCTGGCTGGCTCAGCCCTTTGCCCGGGCCGCCCTCTGCTGTACAGGTGAGAAAGCAGAAAAGCACTGCCCACTTCTGCCTGCAGCGTGGATGCTGAGGCCCCTGGGGACAGTCATGGGAGAGCGGGCAGGACGCCTGCACAGCCGAACCAGCCTGGAGCTCCGGCCTCTTGCTGCACGAGACAGGAGGTGACCCCATGTGCAGAAGTGGCCACGGCGCTGCTGCAGGGGGAGGGCATCACGACCCACCAGCTGCTCCGGCTACTGGACCCAGCGGCTACGTGACGAAGGTCCCACCTGTACACCAGGCCCCAGCACCAGCCGTCCATGGCTGGAGGCCTCCCGTCCGGCTCAGCTTGCCACTCGCTCCCTCCCTTCAGGCCACGTCATGCCTAGACACAGAACAGCCCGCTTCTTCCTGTCTCACTCACCAGAGTTTCCTCTGACAAAGACCCTCCCTGACCAGGCCTCACCAGTGGTCTACAGCAGCTCAAAGCCACATCCCTAGGATGACGCCTGCCCCTAAGCAATTGCCTGAAGAAACTCAGGGCCACCACAAAAATCTACTGCTTGTCCTGGCCACACCCAAGGACAGGCTGTCGCCCAGCCCCTGTAGGAGGGCAGGGTCCAACTTCCACAAGCACTGGTCTGCAAGCCCCGGTGGCGCCGCATGGCCCTGGCCTGCCGCTGCTGAGATCCATCACACTGCAGGCTCTGTTGAGCCCCTCCCCGCGACAAATGGAGGCTGAGTCAGTTCAATCCCTGTTGCGGTCATTAGTGCTTTAGCTATGACACTGCGCACGGAGCTCTCGGGGGCTGTAGCGAGGGCAGGGCAGTGCACGTTCTGGGGACAGTGGTGGCTGTGACAGGGGCAGCCGCAGGCCCTGCCCCCTACCACCACTCCGGGCCGATCCCGGGGTATCTGCTGCACCAGCCCGGCCAAGTCTCTGGGCACGGGCATGTTTCTGACGTGTTCCACACGCCTTCGTCCCTGGGACTCCGTGAGCAGCTCTAGGTCTGTCTCGTCTCTACGAAGAGCATCCGCTGCATGGAAACCCCCGAGCTAGAGAATTTGCCGACCCCATCGGCTTTTCCCCATGGCGCCCACTCTGAAATCTCCCCTCCACCCGGAAATATTTGATGGGGACTGGCTTTTAACTGGGCGACACCTTTACTTCTTCGCAAGAAGGGTCAGAAAGGGGCCTGAACAGAAAGGCAGGCCCTTCGATTCTGGAGCCAAAGATGCTGGAGAATGGGCTGAAGGTTCCTGGCACACCTGCGCTCACCTGCGCACACCTGCGCACACCCGTGCTGCCTCCCGCACACCAGTGTGAAGAGGCCTGAGACAGTTTGAGTAGCCGGGCGGCCCCGGGCGGAGAAAGGCAGTTCCTGGTACTGACCAGGCAGTCGGGGAGAACCCAAGCGTTTGGCCTTTGATGGTCGTCGATAGCCTGGGTGAGGGGGCCGGCCTTCCTGGGAGAATGGGGTACCATGAAGCCTGTGGGAGCCGCCTGTACTCCCGGGCTGCCCCAGCGCATCACCGCGCCCATCTCGCTGTGCTGCGAGGACCTGGGCCTGGTGGCGCCTTGCGGACGGTCTGTGCTCTGCTCCATCACCTGGCACCGCGGAGACGTGCGGTGTTCTCTCCTGCGAAAGCAGGTGTATGGGCCGGTCGTCTGAGACCTGCCTTGCTGTCGTGCTGTCCCTTCCCGTCACGTCAGCCTTTTTCTCCAGGTTCCACACGTACCTCTGCTGCACGTGCCCCTCTGCACCTCCTACCTGTGGGGCTGTGTCTGGTCGCCCCTGTGCTGTGATGAAAACAGCAGGAACTTCTGAGCAGACAGGCCTGGGTTCTAGCCCTTGACTTGGGCCGTTGCCTTCGAGCCTCAGTTTCCTTGTTGGTGAAGTGAGAATAATGAGGATTCGAGGTTGAGTAGTGAGGTGGTCCCAGCGTGGTTGGTGGCAGCAGCAGTGGCTGTTGTGTCCTTGTGGTCTCTGGACCCCTGTCCTTCATCTCTTCGTCCCTTATTTATTTGAAGAACATGCATGTGCTCTCCTGGTTCTCGCCTCTACGCTGTCTCCCTGGCCAACTCCTTCCTCCCCTCTTCCTGGGACTGCAGTGGGCCCCTGCTCCCGGGTGCCTCCCGCCACATGGGAGTCATAAGTGGTTCACGCTGTCAGTGTCTTGAAAGCAGAAACCACGTCAGTCTCAGAGGACACGGGAGTCACTGGGCTTCTCTGCACCCTCTCCAGGCATTTGCAGCTGGGACCTGCCTCTGGGCTGGCTAATCAAAGAGAAGGAAGCAGCAATGTCTGCCGTGGGGGCCGCAGCTCCATACCTGCATCACCCTGGTGACAGTCACAGTGGCCGGGTGAGTTTCCTGGGAGCCCAGCTCCCCCCAGAGGTGGCAGCAATGCCTCGGCTCCTGGCAGATCTGGACAGGAGCACGTTCAGAAAGTTGCTGAAGCTGGTGGTCAGCGGTCTGCAGGGACAGGACTGCCGCGAGGCCGTGCAGCGCCTTGGGGCTGGCGCACACCTGCCGGAGGAGCGGCTGGGTGCCCTGCTTGCTGGCATGCACACGCTGCTCCAGCAGGCCCTCCGGCTGCCCCCGGCCAGCCTGAAGCCCGACGCCTTCCAGGATCAGCTCCAGGAGCTCTGCATCCCACAAGACTTGGCTGGGGACTTGGCCAGTGTGGTGTTTGGCAGCCAGCGGCCTCTCCTCGACTCCGTGTCTAGGCAGCAGGGGGCCTGGCTGCCCCATATCACCGACTTGCGGTGGAGGGTGGACGTGGCCATCTCCACCAGCGCCCTGGCCCGCTCCTTGCAGCCAAGCGTCCTGATGCAGCTGAAGCTTTCGGATGGGTCCGCGCTCCGCTTCGAGGCCTCGACGGCCAAGTTCCAGGAGCTTCGGTACAGCGTGGCCTTGGTCCTCAAAGAGATGGCTGACCTGGAGAAGAAGTGCCAGCGTAAGCTGCAGGACTGACCGCACTTGCCGGTCCTGGTTTGGTGACCTGGGGACAGCTGCTCAGAAACCTTGAAAGCGAAGTCCCCCTGCCCAGGAGGCAGCCAGCTCGAGAGTGACTGCTGCCATGTTCTCTGTTTGATTGAAGACAGTTGTGTCTTTCCTGTATTTGGAAGTAAATCAACTATCGGAACGTCTCTTGGTGGGCGTCCACTTCACGCCCTTCCCCTGCTCCAGTGTGGCCACCTGGGGCCCGGTCGCAGTCTGGGGTCCAGGCCGAGGCCTTCGTGCAGACGCGGAGTTCCTCCAGCTTGGCTGTGTGGCATCTGAGCTCTGCACCCTTGCTTTGTGAATCCCGCTTCACAGTGCACGCTTCATTGTCCTGCTCTAGCTCCCTGACCCCACTGAGCCAGCCTGCTAGCGGGGAGGGGAGACATTACGAACGGGTAACCAGTGTGGCTTGTGAGAGGGGGGCCAGTGATGCAGAAAGCAGACCAGACCCAGGTGACGGAAGGCAGGGTTGTGGAACTGGGCTGTCATTTTAAACTGGGTCACAGGGTGACCCTCCTTGAAGACCTAGTATGTGAGTTCACTTGGAGGTGGGTAGCAGGGGTATCTGAGTGGGGGACTCCAGACCCGGGGGCCTGATGAGCATTCTGAAAGGGTAAGGCTGTTCTGCATTGGGAGCAGAGCGTAGGGCACACGAGCAGGAGTGGGGAGCATGGCGGGGTTGGCAGTGACAGGAACCCCGATGCCTGCAGGGTGGGCGTGTGCAGGGCCTGTCACCAGTTTTGCACCATCCACAGAAGGCTTCAGGGGTCCTGTTCCCCAGACTTTGCAGTCGGGCTGTTCCGTCTGGTGTCCCTGCCTCCTTGGCCCGCTCTCTACTGGGAAACCAGTGCCATCTGGGGTCTTTCGAAAGGGCACTGACCCCACCCGGGGGCTCCGCCCTCAGACCTAAGCACCCCACCTCCTAACCCCATCACAATGGGCATTAGGGTTTCACCGTATGAATTGGGGGGGACACATTCAGACTGAATTTTTTTTTTTGCTATTGAAACCAGTTGCTGGTGGTGAAGCATTTCACACATCAGACCTGCGTAGAAGTAGGAATAGTCGTTTCTCAGTGTCCTTGATGGGCCACGCCTGGCCCCACAGCCACAAGTACAGAGAAGCCACAGGAGACACCAGCGGGTATATGCGAGAGCTCACCACTCAGGTAGTGAGGTCCAAGGTTTCCCGTGTCACGGAGAGGTAAGCGGCTTGCCCCGTGTCACACAGCTGATGACGGAGCCGGTGTTCTCTTCGCTCCCCGCGTGGATGAGGCAGTGCGTGTCCCCTAGGGACAGTACGAGCTTTCCGGTGGTAACCGTTCTGTCCGCTCAGCCACCAGAGCTGAGATCAGCCAGGCATAATACGCAAACAAATGCGCACGATCACATTCCAACAGAAATTCCTTACAGGTACCGAAATTTTCATTTCAATCATTTAAGACCCATTCTTAGTTCCAGAGCTGGACAAAACCAGGTGGGGGTGGGTGGCTCTGCTAGCCCTCGCTGGGCCAGTCAGTGGGCAGGCACTGTGTGCCCGTGGACTCCCCCAGGCTGCAGAGGGACTGTCCACGCCCTTCTGTGGTCAGGTTCCACCATGGACCTGAATTTGAGGGCGGGCGCCAGCCCCGTCCACTTTTGTCCCCAGGCCTGCACAAGGCCTTGCAGAGAACAAATGTTCGCACCTGGAAAATCACCCCATTTCGTAGATCCCGATGCTGGCAGTTCGTCTTGCGTGGGTCTCTGCTTCCCGCCTTCTAAGGCTAGGTGCCCCCAAATGCACCATTCGTTCTCTCAACCGTTTCTTGGGCTGAGTGGGAACACGGGGATGTGCAAACCTACCTGGGGTCTGCTCCCCACCCCCAACAGTTCATTTGTGAAGCTTCCAGAAAGTTCAGCATAGCTCCAGTCCAGCATAAGTCAAAGATTAACCTGTGATTCGGAGCAGATGTAATTTCAGGTCAAAATCATGGGTTTAATTTATTGGTTCCAAAGTATTTTTAAACCTACTCTGAAACAGAGTTCTGGAAATTCTTAAAACAAGCCTACTTTTGTATTCACTGAAGGCCAAATTGGAAAACATATTTGAAAGAACGGAACACTCCAGCACGTGCACACCACCCCAGCGGCCCCAGCACACGTGGCACGCATGCCTCCCGTGCCTTCCGTGGGGCCACGCAAGACCAGGCGGCGCTTACGTGGACGCAGGCAAGGGGCCCCCTCCTGAACTTCTGCAGCTGACGACCTTGCCCGGCTTTGAGGGAGGGCCTTGGGGTTACTTCCACTGGACTCCCAATGAACAAGCCATACTAACAGTGGAGAGGAAAAATAATTTCTCAAAGGCTGGAGAGCACAAACGCTTTACCCAGGTCAACAGCCACGGCTGCGTGGTGAACTTGGCTCTTGCAGCAAGAAAGGAGGCGACATGCAAACAGGCGAGCTGGCTGTGCCAAAACGTTTTATTTCATCACACTGAAATTTGATTTCAGTATAATTTTCAAATGCCACAAAATAGTATTTACCTCCCAACCACTTAAAAACGTAAAAACCATTCTTGGCTCTTAGGTCTGTTAAAAGATAACCGAAGTCCATTGACGTTTTGAAGTTTGAGCAAACATGGATTGGAACCGGGCAGCCACACCCAAAGGGGTCTGCACGCGGCAGCAGGAGAGCTGGCTGCTGCACCGGGAAGCCGGGCTTGGGTCTGGGGCTGGTGAGTCTGCTGGGACGGGCTGCTTTGGTGCTGGTCTGTGTACAGGTGTGGACATCAGAGCCACTCAGTTTAATGGCCTGTGTCTGATGCACACGCCACACAAATGCATTTGGCCCACAGGCTGTCACTTAACAGCCCCCAATCTAAGACAACACGGTCCAAAGAGACTTGGGTGCTGAAGCAGATTTAAGGTCGAAGCCTCTGGCCCTCCCTGCCTGACCCGAGGTTCCTGTCACGGGAAAGACAGACTGTTGTGCCTGGCATGGAACCTGGAAGAATCCATCCTTTTGTCCCTTGCTACCCCGGGGTGGGGGGCGTGGTCCATGGAGAAGCCTCTCCAGCACACAACAGCACCCAGTGCCAGCAGATGGCGGGAGTATTGGCTGTCCACTCAGGACCTTGACTCTCGTCCCACTGTTGGATGACCTAAGAAACTTCCAGCCCATTCAGGTGCGGCTCCCCCGGTCCAGGAGCGCAGGTGCTGGCCACCTGGCTGAGCACAGCAGCTGAGGCGGAAACACAGTACGTGTCACCTCTGCACAACTTACAGAGGTCCCTGGTCCTCTTGTACTGGCCCTTCTGGACATGTTCTGGGTGGCAGAGGGACAGCTGGAGGGCACAGTCACTGCGACTGAAGTGGGCATGTAGATTTCACGGCGCCCGCGCCAAGTCTGCGGACGACCACAGAGAGCTGCAGCGGCGAGCTAAGCGGCAGTAGGCGCTCAGGCTGACCTGCTGTGGGGCTGACTCCCATCCACGTGCTGGGAACAGAAACGAACGGGACTCGGGGTCTTGAACTCTGCTGCTTCCAATGCCACCGGACAGGCCTGGAACCCTCTGGTGCAGATGCAGGGACCATCACTCGCTGCGCTGTATACAAAGCCATGGTTGGCTATGGGCTGTGCCATGCATGGTGACAGTCTGCAAGGTCTCGGAGACCTGTCAAACCAGTGTGAGTGACCCTAGTCGAGTGCTGCAATAGATGCTGAAGTGACCTGTGCCCTCTGGGCTACCTGTTTGCATGTGGGAAAAATGGGAGTCTTCATCGGGTTGTATCTCTAGCCGCTGTGCTTACTGTGATGATACCAAGGACTGGCTGGGCCCGGGGGGG